CTCAGTATATTTACGAAAATTTAATGTATGTTCACAAAAACAAATGTAGTTTTAGTAAAAAAAGTGATATACATTCCGTAAACACTAGAAACAAACACAAGCTAGTGATGCCAGTTTCTCGAATCCACAGAGTCAGTAATTCATTCTTGCGGCAATGCATACGCTATTACAACAAGGTCCCGGAAAGTGTACAGGCTCTCTCTATTTTATTACGCTGAAACTGTATAAAAAGGGTTATTATAGTATAAATGAATACATGGTTGATAATAACCCCTGGGAATGAGGTGGTCGCTTGCAAGCAGTTTCTAAAATAAACTTTGTAAATAGTTCGTAATCATTTATATTGTAAAATTGATTTAAAAAAGTCCCGCTGGGTTTCTTGCTGGTTATTCCCAGGACAGAGGGTTTTTTTTTCGAACCAGTGGTAAAGTAAAAAGTTACTTTCAATAAGAATTACACATGTAATGTATATTGAATAAAAATATTCTATTATATTCTATTCTATTCTATTATATTCTATTCATATGCTCCACCAACCAATACAATGGCAGATAACGCCAATAGGCAGTTATAAGATAATAGTAATAATTCCCCATCAGAAAGGGTTTGTGTCACTGAGGTTGAGTTTATGCATTTTCGATCATGTTTGTCTCATCCACCAACAAGTTGCCTTCAATCTTTCAAAGGTAGGAACTTTATAAATATATATTATTATGTTGTTATATAAAACATCATGGAGGTCAGACAGTCTGCAGCCATGCAATGAAGGGACACGACTTGGACAAAGCTACTTAGGGTGTGAGTCAAACCAAGACGCAGGGAGCGCCATCGAGAATAGCGACCCGCCAAACAACCATCGCAGAGACGCAATGCTGCAGAACGCAACAAGCATCAATCAATACGACTATCGTCAGGCTTACACCATCCCAAGACCCCCCATACAGTCCTAGCAGACATCGCCAGCCGCATACCTCCATCGACCAGAACCACAAAATGCGTCGAATCAGGTGTACCGCATCCGCAGGTCCATCACAAGACGCAATACTGAAAGTAGCAGTAAGCATCAATGCAACTATCATACGGATGGCGCCCCCTCACAACACACTAACATGATCCCTATCGACATTGGTAACAAAATTGATAAAGTTGTTAACTAAAAATACCACCAACGTATCATAGTAGCACGGTACTAAGACATCAGTAGCTAAAATTCCACGTATCATAGCGCTATTGCACTAAGACATGGAGTTGAGTATGCTTGCTGCACTTAAAAGTACTACCAAACACATTCACCCTAATCCGAAATATAGCCGACGTATCATAACGCTATGCGCTAAGACACCGCCCACAAACGGTAGGGTGTGCGATGTCCACGGGCAAGTCGTGTTGCTACAATAAACCCGCTTACCATCGACACTAAGATGATATGTCTAGGACACATCGGTTAGCGAGTCCAAGTTTACCTCGGTCTCGGACGCTGTGAAACAATCTACACACCACTATATTTATCCATTTCAAGTCCCATTTCTTTCAATATAATGCAATATAATATAAATTTTTACATATTTGAGACCTTCCACATATGTGATTTATTTCATAGACGATACTATTGAATGTCTTAATCATATGGGACTTCAAGTCATAACTCTGCTATCATAATGCTTATGCATCATAGAGATCTTCTATATTAATGCTTTGGTTCGTTAGACCTTAAGTCCCTAATATAGGACTAGTAGTAGTAAGGATGGAGGACCGACGACTGGACCGAAGGACCGACTGCTAGTAGTCAGGTTGCACAATGGTGCAACTTTACTATTTGGGTGTGTGTCTCCGGCAACGCCTCCTTATAAGGGAACATTACAAGAATAGCTTCATCAACTTAGAAATTTTCCGATTAATACAAGAACACCTTCATTAACTTTGGACAAGAACACTTTCAAACATTTTGATCCATTTTTTCTATTATATTTCAAATGTTATTTATCTTTATAATTGCAATACAATCGACTTGTATTTATATGATTTAATACACTTTGAATATTTTAAACTTTAGAGATTTTTAGAGACAATTTATGCGTTAACTATACTATAATATTCAATATTCCAAATGAACATATTTGAACTTTATACTTAATATTGCATTTTAATTGTTTAAAATATAATTTCTATGACATTTTTAAATGTCTTTATAATGAATTTAATTATTATTTATTTAGAATAATTATGAAGCGTCACATTAGTTAAAATCAAATGAGGACTGTTAAAACCACTATTGTATTTTTGTTATCAAAAATCCTAAGATTTCTACAGCAACGGGTTTATGTTTATGTAACTACCTACAAGACGGCGAATCAGTTAGTTAAGTTATCGAAAAAAAAACAGACACATATTATTACATATTGTGTGTGCGCGCCATTTTGAGTGATTTTATGTCTATGGCCCACAGCATCCACTTAATATCAGGATAGTTCTGTGCAACTGTGAGCTCGTTTGTAAAACTTATTCTATAAACAAAATAGTTGACATATAGACTGGTTACTTTATTAACACGGAAGTAATTATAAAGACTTGGTGCCTGAAATTAATACAGCTGTCGAGCAATCTACAATTAAGTAAAGAACAATAAATATATAACAAGAATAATAAAGCCAAATCTTCACTGAATGAGTTAGGTTATAAATAATTGAAATAAAATAAATTCCTAAGAGCCCCAATTGGCTTCTTAAGAATGCGTACAATTTCGTTTCCTTCTTGTATCAACTTACATAAAAACAGCCGCATCGAATATTATTACTGTTTTTATTATAAAGGCAGATATTGGAATATATACATTTTTTAAAGGAGATATTCCTTAAATTATACAAACGTTTTATATTAACGTAGTGCGACTCAATATATAGCAGAAATGATTGCACGAGTTTATAAGATTTTGTGGTCTAAGTCAGTGTGCTTTACCATCTTTGCTGCATCTTCACTTACAATTATGTGGGACAGTAGTCAGACACTGGCTTATAGTAGTTAAAAATTGTGGGCCTTTGAAGAAAAATTTAAACATTTTTTGTAATATATTCATAAGAGCTCAAATAATATTTCTTTATTCTGTGGAATTATTTGTCGGCGTCTGTCTTTCCGTCCGAATACTGAGCGTCAAGGCAAGAGTGAATAGGCTTTTATTCATAATCATAATCATAATCAGTTTCAGGAAATATCGATCAACGCAATTAACTAACTTCACCCTAATAAACAGCATCGTTAATAATATCAACCATAAAATCCCAACATTAGCTCTATGACTAGCTAATGTTGGGATTTTATGGTTGATATTATTAACGATCGACTAGACCTCACGTCTCACGATTAGACCTCAGCAAAGCATTCGATTTTGTTGATCATTCAATACTCATCTCGAAACTTGAGAAATGTGGAATAAGGTGATCTTCATTGTTATGGTTTCAGTCATATTTTAAAAACAGGAAACAATTCGCTAGTATTACAAAATTTGATACTGAAACAAATAATGTAGTTAAGTTTGACTCGAAACAATGGATTAATTGTACTGGGGTGCCACAAGGTAGCATCTTAGGGCCCCTTTTATTTCTTATTTATGTCAATGACCTTCCACGTGCACTCACACATGATTGTGTCTTGTTTGCAGACGACATGACTATCATTATGGGCTGTAAAAATATAGATACCTATGAGATGAAAATATATAAAACGTTAGAAGATGTTATCCAATGGTTAAACATAAACAAATTAAAAATAAACATTAATAAAAAGAAAATAATTAACTTATAAATTATAAGAGTAAAAACATGGAATTAAATAATAGTTACAAAAATTCAGTTATACAACTGATAAACACCGCAAAATTTTTAGGCATTATTCTCGATACACATCTTTCATGGAAAGAACAACCCATATAGGCCTACCGTACCCTATGTGGTACAGTAACTTTGTAAAAATATTTTGATGTACCCACAAATTATTAACTTTTTTGGTTAGTTGTGGCAGATAACTCAGAGTATTAGTTTTATGTCAACAACATAACATACACATTTTATGCAAGTTATCTTTAGTTTATATTAAATTCCTTGACAGAAACGAAAAAAAACAATTTACAATGTCTTCAAGAAGGTAAGTTTCATGTTATCTATTGCAAATCATATTATTTATAGGTATTATTTTAAAGACTAGGCTACAATAGACGTAATAGCTACAAATAAGTTTCACTTGGATTATTTTAGCAAGGTGTACACAGTGCTAGATTAGGCGTATCATATATGGTACAGTAGGTCTATGCATGAGCATAAAATACCTAAAATAAGCATAAAAAACCTTCTTCTATGCGGTAGAGCCATGCTGCAGCTATATTATGGTTGTAGCACGAATGGGTCGGCTCGACCGGGGAAGGACCACGCTCTCACAGAAAACCAGCGTAAAATAGCAGCTTAACGCTGCTGTGTTTCGTATGGTGAGTGTAGAGAACCGGAGACCCTTTTTACTGGCAAAGAGGCATTCCATCTTAGTCCTCACGGGTGACAACGCATCTGCATCTTGAGTCTTTATTGAGGATAGATGTAGATGTCTATGGGTCACAGTAACCACTTACCATAAGTGGACTGTGTGCTCGTTTGTCACCCGATCTTATAAAAAAAAATCAATGTACATATAATTATATTAGCTTTTTATTTATCTTTTTGTGTTTTTTTTTGTTTTAGGTCATTGACATTACATGAAATTGCTACAGTTCTTGAGAAAGATGATGATTTTAGCAACCAGAGACAAGATTTTGATATTTTTTACTTCCACCTGACACCGCCAATGATTACCAGACTGACGAGGACTCGGGTGAACAAGATAACGTCAGCATAAATAATTTGCCTGGAAGTTTGCTTCGAGCTCCAGCGGAGCTTGCTGCCTCAACCTCAAGTTCCTGAGGAACCAGAAACTGAGGATCAAACCCCTCCCAAATTTCAAGAACCTTTAAAAAACGTGTCATGAAGTACAATTGGCGAAAACGAGACTTGCTGCTAAGACCTATTGGTTGGCAACCCAATAGATACTTAGCACGTAAGCTTCTCACTGCTGACGTCAAGATTGAAGAGATGAAATGTTTGGTAGGGATTGTGTTAGTCAGTGGCTATTCCCAAGTGAGCAGAAGAAGAATGTACTGGGAAAATGCGTCTGACTCAAGAAATAGTTTGATTGCTTCAGCCTTGTCTCGAGATAGATTTAAACTAATTTACTTTAATATTCATGTTGCTGATAATCTAAACTTAGATAGATCCGATAAATTTGCAAAAATGTGTCCTTTACTAAAAGTTTTAACTATGAAGTCTCTTGAGCACTGTCCACATAAGGAGAATCATAGTGTTGATGAGGCTATGGTCCCATATTTTGGTTTGGGAGGCAAGCCTATAAGATATGAATACAAATTATGGGTTGTTGCAACATCAGGAGGTTACATTGCGTGGTTTCAACCATACCAAGGTACTTGTACATTTACGAATGCCCAATATTCCCAGCTTGGTCTTGGTGCAAGTGTGGTGTTGTCTTATGCAGATCAACTAGCAACATTAGGCTATGGAAAAAACTACCATCTCTTCATAGACAACTTTTACCGGTTTGCCTTTGGTTCATGAACTTACTGAGAGGGGATTTCGTGTAACTGGTATTATCAGAGAAAATAGATCTGGAAAGTGCCCTCTATTGGGTAACAAAGAAGCAAAGACAAAAGAAAGAGGCTTTTATGATTATCGCATATCTGATGATATTATAATTTGCAAGTGGCATGACAATAGTATAGTGTCAGTATGCTCTAATGCAGTTGGTGTTGATTTGTCTGTCCACAAAACTGAACGCTATTCTCAGCAACTAAAAAAGAAAATATCTGTTTCTCAACCTCATCTCATTCAACAATACAATAAAAATATGGGTGGAGTAGATTTATCAGAACAGAATATATCGTCATTGCGAACTAGCATTCGAGGAAAAAAGTGCTATATGCCTCTGATTCTCCATTGTATTGACATGTCTGTAGAAAATGTATGGTTGCTGTACAGACATAATGAAGGGAATATCGACTTGCTAAACTTTACTGTACTCAGCTCCCCCCCCCCCCTCTTATTAATTTTTTTAAATATTTTCCCGCTGTTTTTAGGTTTTCTTGGATCAGGTTTTGTTAATGAAACATAAATTTTTCACAAAAATAATTATCGGTCTAAATGGGTTAATAATTTATGCATAAAAATAAATAAGTTTGTTTTCGCACTTCGAAAGGTAAAAGACGTGACAAGCAGACATACCTGTATTATGATATATCACGCTTACATTTGTTCCATTATACGATATTTTTTTTTTATAGGATAAGGGTGACAAAGGAGCACACAGTCCACCTGATGGTAAGTGGTTGCTGCGGCCCATAGACATCTACATCTATCCTCGTTTGCGAATCAAAATGCATATGCGTTGCCACCCGTGAGGACTAAGATGGAATGCCTCATTTCCAGTAAAAAGGGCCTCCGGCCACCTGCACTCACCAAGCGAAACACAAAGGTAAACCTCTACTTCACGCTGGTATTCTGTGAGGTCGTGGTACCACCCCGGTTCGAGCTGGCCCATCCGTGCGACAGCAAAAGTGGCTCTACCACTGTTAATGGTATGGCATAGTTGTCTGGGGAAATTCCTGTGACATCACGAGGGAGTTTATAGCACAGAAAAAATGCATTAGGACACTGTACGGCATGGATTGGTCGGAATCATGTAAACCGAACTTTAAATTAAATAATTTACTAACTGTTCCCTGCATATACATATACATATACAATACCACAGTCATCTCTTCACCGCTAACGACAATATATATATAAACGAAAAATTGGCCACGTGCCCTTAAAAATGCCTGTGCCTAAGCTAGAACTGTTTAAAAAAAACTGGGCTTATATGGCAGCTCTTATATATAACTCTTTGCCCAAAGGAATGACTGACCTGCCATATAAAAGGTTCTGTTGTGCATTGCAAAAGTGGTTAATCCAGGAGAGTTTCTATAATATTAAAGATTTTTTGAATAAAAGCACTTGCCGATTTGGTGCCCACTAAGATATCAGATCTTTCTTTTTATTTCCTGTGACTTAGTCTATTATAATAATTCAATAATTTATGTAATTGTAATCGTGTAATTAAAATAATTGAAATTTAAAAGATTGTAATAATTGTAATTAAAATAGTTCTTATAAATTGTTATTCAAATAATTGTAATTTTATTCAAATAATTGTTGTAAATTTACTATGATTTTACATGCCCATAATGAGGGTGAAATTTGTCCTGTGCTATAACTTAATTTAACATCTTGTGTACCAACCATATTTCTTGCAAATAAATGATTCATGATTATGATAGGTTTTTATTGCCTTAATACATTTCGATTTACCATGTAAGACTCCATCACCACTTACCGCCAGGTGGGATTGTGGTCAAGCACTGATTTATAATAAGTACAAAATGAAATATTAAACATTTTTTTATAGAATAAGGGTCCACAAACGAGCACACAGTCCACTTGATGATAAGTGTATATTATGGCCTATAGATATCTACATTAATCCTCAATTACAATTTAATATGCAGATGAGAATCCTTGAGAACTAAGATAGAATGCCACGTATCCTGTAAACAGAGTATCCAGTTTTCAACGCTCACCATACGAAACGCAGCAGCATTGACCTACTATTTTACCCAGCGTAAATTAGCACACACACAATAACAAAAAATTCTGTGCGGAGCGTGGTTCTCGTCCAGTTGAGCTGACCCATTCGTGCTTCAAGCATGATATCATCATTATATAATAACATAACATAGCTTTCACAGAATACCAGCGTAAAATAGCACTTTAATGCTGCTGTGTTTCGTATGGCGAGTGTAGAGAACCGGAGACCCTTTTTACTAGAAAAAAGGCATTCTATCTTAGTCCTCACAGCTGATAACGCATCATTAATTCACAAACAAAGATAGATGTAGACGTCTATAGGCCACAGCAACCACTTAACATCAGGTGGACTGTGTGCTCGTTTGTCACCCTTATTCTATAAAAAAATATATTGATATCAGTTTTTTGAATAAAACTAATTTTACGGATTTTATCGCGTATATTAACTTGTTTTATATTCCGTCGTCGGGAATATAAAATAAGTTAATATACGCGATAAAATCTATTTAAATGTGTAGTATTCGCTTAAATATAAGAAATCATCAGTTTTTTGACTAATTTGCGAGTTCATAATTCTATTAGATGTGAGGTGACAGAAGAGAATACATCTTCCCATTTTTATAAAGTCACTTCTTATGACATCGCATAGGTGTCGTAAGAGGTGACTCTAAAACTTCAGAAAGGTCTTATGATCTTTGAAAGAATCCGTCGGCATAACCGTTTCTCGCCAAGGATATACAAAAAATGTATATCAATGTTTACATCTTACGTAAAGTATCTAGAAGAAACATCAAAGGCACGAGACGTCTGATATTCCGTAGTTTGGATCTTAGAAAACTTATTTTCGCAATTAAAAAATCAACATTTTCTTTTTTTAAATACCACCTTAACAAAAACCTTTGAAAACAAAATATTTCAAAGGCAGAAAAAATAAGATCTACACAAAAAGCTTAGTATGATTTTTGGGTCCACAGATTACTGTGTAAAAATCTTGACATTTACGAATTTTCAAGGAAATACAAACGTAAAAATAAAAGATTTAAAATTACTCAACGTAACGTTTCTCAAGAAAGTAATTCAATTTTTCGTCTCTTCAAGCAGATTGTCTCTTCTACATTGTGTGATGAAAGGGGCGCTAAAATCTCGCTTTTCGCAATTTTATAAAAGACGGCTTATTTAATGAATAAGTAAAAAGTTTTTCACACGACGCGCTGAATTTTAAATATTTATAAAAGCGTTTTTCTTTTAAACTCGTTCACTTTTTTAAATTTGGACTGTTCTATTTGTATTTATGTCTACCACAGTCGTGAGCACAAAACTCTGCCTATAAATTATAGTGACTCTATGTATTAATACGTAAAGAAAATACGTTACTTATACACTAGGTTTATCTCCTGTATGGGGGCACGTGGGGGCAGTTTACATACATGAATTTTACACGGACAAACATCCTGACTCGGAACAATTAATTGTTGGTCTCACGGTATTTGATTTTAGAGAATAATTGCCACATTTCAATGATTATCTTATCTCTGACAGAAAACCGCAGCATCCACGAAAAAAATTGTACTTAACATTTGCTTCAAATTGCTGCAAATTCCACTCATAATAAAAATATGAAAAAATATGTTCATAAAATATTTTTCTGTGTGTATTTTTATAGCACAAGTAATAACACTTATTAGATAATAAAGAACTAAATAAACATATAAAAAACCTCCAAAAACACGGGCACTAGATAATTTTAAGTACATCGTAGTTTCTGAAATCATCGCATTGCCTGATACAGTCCAGTCAGTGTACGCTCCCAAGTTGTTCTTTAAAAAAGATATCCTTGTATTTCATTAATAAAGGACAATTGGGGATCACATAGCCCCTGAGCGTGAGGAGCATGGAGCCAGCTTAGTGTTCGCTGCAAATTATAAAAAAAGAGACAGCAAAATCTTCCTGATAACATCTCAAAATTATAAAAACTGAGGTTACTATGGCAAAATAAGAGGAAATCTGTGGGGGAGGCCTATGTTCAGGGGTGGATTTATATAGGCTATAAAATATGAAATAATATTTACTTCTACACTGGTACGTGTCTGCTACGCACGGTTCTGCAGATGTGAACGAAGCTTGGAAATATTTTTAAAATGGCCGTTTTACATATAACATTGAAACACTCTGTACACGCCCCTAGCTGTCCCAACATAGGTCGACTATACAGGAGCCCATACAGCTGTAGACTCGACGGACAACTAAGGACGGGGCCCAAATGGCCTATGGGCAATTGACCTACACGATAGAGATAAGGCTAGATAAACAAATAGTACGTACCTGTTCAGAGGAGAAGACTGGACACAAAGCTCGGTCAGGCGGTAGGTGTAATGTATGTAAGTGGTGTTTAGTGGTGTGTTTATATATGTGACCTGACCCAGCTGAGGTGAACGGGCCTGAACTGGTCCGGTCCGATGCTGCCCCACAATGTAATTCACTCCAGCTGACGTCACCAATTGGCAATTCCTTTCTTCAATTCACTATGTCAGTCTATCAACTTTATTGTACATTTAACTAACTTCAAACTCAACTAAATCCCCGTTAATTATAATCAAACATGTAACACATGGCACGACTAATCAACGGTGAGTCAAAGTTCACTTCTGTTTCACTCAGCAACAAATTATTTCTAGAACCGAACGTGACCTTCTAAGGTACTTAGTGCGACGGTATAATTAAACATTAACTTCCAAACAATTAATCGAATCTAATTTTCTAGACTCTATAACTCCTCGTCGTTGCATAAATATGCTAACAAAGCACACACACAATCAGAGGTTATTATGTACGTGACCATGCGGTCCGAGTAGATTCACTGCAATCCTATACAATTGACGCAATTACTTTCAAACGAAATTACTTTAATCAGTCAAATACAATACAAGCCTCTTGTC